TAAAATTATCATATGGGCACGAAATACTTTTACATATGGATCTGTTCCAACTTCGATTGTAACGTCATAATATTCATCATCCTCTAAACATTCAAGTAAATTTTGTGATAATTTCTGTAAAAACTTATAATTTGCAGCCATTCTATTAATTTTTTTTTTTTTTTTTTTTTTGTTATTGAGATATAATACTTTATTGTGATACAAATGGTCACACGACAATAAATCTATTGTTCCTATTGTGTTTGTGGGAGCGTTGCACAGAACTGCGCCACTCGTGATCGTATCAGCTTTTGTATCTTTTCGACTTATAAGACAATTTACAAAATAATTTCACGTGTATAGTATTATATTATCAATAAATTTTAGTATATATATTGACAGATTTTTACAAACTCTACAATTAATAAGAATTTCTTTTCCTCATAATGATTACTACCTAAACAAGTGAATCGACATAATTTTTAAATTGTCGTAGTAAATCTCTCTTTACTACTGTATAATAACAGGCGTACACTTGGAAAAATGCAACTATCTTGTTTATATATCGAAACTTCATTTTTAACTATCTTCTACGAATACACTTTACCGGCACACATAACTAGGATTGGAAGCAATCAAAAGAGTAGAATCAACTTTATAATTGATTAATCGTTTCCTGAATTTCGATTATAAGATTCGATTTTCGATTTCGAATCGATTTTAATCGATTTAATTTATGACAAAACGAATTTTTAATCATAATTATACGCAGATAAATTCCAAAAATATTTATTATGTTGGAAAAAAAAACTTTTTCAAGCTTTTCTTTTTGATTTATTGTTATTTTAGTTTTGGGTTGAATTAATACAGGGTACAACGATCTTACCAAAAAAAATCTTGTGCCCCTTTCTTTTCTCTTATGTTGTTATATTATTATAACTGTTTTTAGGTAATTTCTTTCAGACGTCGCACAAAATTTGTTACAACGTTGAATAAATACGCTTCCAAATATTAAACATGGTTATAGTCTATATATTTGAACCTGGTGAGTAATTTTTGATGCGTTATTACTGTGCCCTCGACTATTTTCTTAAATATTTACTAATTTATGATTGAGTTTCGTCATGTTCCAAAACTTTGCCTTTCAATGTATTACAAATAAAGAAACAAGCTTTCTATAAATAACTTTTCATATTAGTGATCAATAATTTATTAAGGAATTTATTTTAGTGTTATAACACCTGAGTACTTTAAATCCTACTAAAATTTTAATAAACTTATGTCGCATTTTTCATTCAGTTTGTTTTGTGATGATGTATTGTAACTTCTTCGCTTTTTAAAAACTTTGGGTCAACATAAGGAATTACCCAAAAGTTTTTGATTGATTATTTGCTGCATCAATCCTTTTCGATAACCCAAAATCAGCTATTTTAATTATACCTAGGCTTGAAAACACAATATTATTTGCTAATTGACGAATTAATATATTACCGGAATGCTAAAATTAACAAATAATTATTTACAGAAATTATAAACAAAAATAAGATATATATCGTGCAAGATTACCAAAATTCCTTCTTCAAGTAAACACGATACAGCGCAAGCCAAACGGAATGAAAATTAAGCTTATCAAAATGATACTTCAAATAACTTCGAATTAAACCGTCATCAGCATATTCCAATACTAATATAGTTACAAATGGTTTTCATTTTTTTTTAAAAAATAAAATAAAAAATTATATAATTATTTAAAGTTCTAGGAGGAAAGCAAAAAAAATTGCACGCGGTAAATCTTGTAATGTTTATCAAATTTTAGCCACAGGTTTGAATTAATATGAATAAAATTAAAAATAATTATTTTTTTTTAAAAAAAATAATAATATAATTGACAATGGTAACATAAAGAACGATATCCGAAAAGATACTTTAAATTATTTATGAAACAAATAGTTATACGGGTGTTAATTGGATGTTCGTAATCATTCAAGACGAAACACTATTGTTCAAATTTTATAAAGGTTAAATAAATGTGTGGCAAGATTAGGACATAAGTTTGAAAAAGGTTTGGCAAGATATGAGCGACCAGAAAATTAAATTTTTCAAAACCCGAAAATCTTTTTTTTTAGATAAATATAAATTACTCCAAAATGTTTTCGAAAATAGCTAAGGAGGCATAAGGCGTAATTTCAATGTTATAATGTAACTTAAAAAGTTACGATGGTGCGACGGTAATTACCATTCGGAAGACTACCTTATTGGTGAAAGAAAAAAGCTAAACTCAAAATTATTGCATAACTTCAAACATTTGAATTTAGGAAAAGATAAAAGATATAAAATGCAACAATATACATAATCGCTAAAATTATTTAGTTTAATTTTGTACTATTTTTTTACTCAACTGGAATAGGTTTATTTTTTATTTTTCTTAGTTGAGAAATTGTTTAAACGATAGTAGGGTTTAATATTTATTTTTCGTAGATTTTAACATTTTGTGTAACTTTTTTTATAAATGGAAAAGTTTTAATATAAAAAAAAAGTTACGCTGTTTGGAGATTTTTTTTTGCTTTTCTTCAATCATGATTCATTTCTAAATAATATAAATTGATTGAGAATATAAATATAAACATGTATGTTCTAAAATATTAAAAATTATTTTTATAGTCATTTCTTAGGTCTCGCGATCATATAACACGCTCATAAAATAATAATTATCAAACAATATAGTAAGATTTTACACTTATCCGTCATTTTATAAAGTTTGAAAATAGAGAAGAAAATATAAAAAAAAAGAAGAATAATTTGCTTTTCTGAGTTTAATTTGGAGGTATTTGATAGACTTTTTCATGGAGGTAGCACCCTCCAGAATTCGACCTGGTTCCTCCGACAGTATAATGGACCTAATCAGTTTCGGGAATTGTCTATTGTTTTACATAAGATTCTAGACTAATTATATAGATAAATAAATAGTATTTTGACAATAGGAGGAAATGCTGTAAAAAAGATTGCCTGATAAAAAAAATCATATATACAAATTAAGTATAATTACATATAAATTAACATCTTTTTTCGACAAGACCCTCTTGGCGTCGATCGAGCTAACGAAAACTCTAGTTTAAGACTGTTCATCCATTCGGTTGGATTTAAAGAAACTTGTGCATCATCTAGGAAAAAGATAAGGTAAGTTTGCAGGTAAAATGTATTTTTTAAAATTTATAAAAACATGCAAAAACAAGAATAATTATGTAAATATAAATTTCCTCGCAACAATGAAAAGAATAGAAAATACATTTTCTTCGCACTCACCGTCTCTTGACTTCCGTAGTTCACCTGAAATAATATCAAAGTCAAATTCGGCAGAGGTTTAATTACTCTCTTGCGAAGGTCTCAAGGGAAAGTAATATCCTAAGATATTTGACCTCATCTAAAAGAAAAGTTATAGTTATCATTTAGATTATAATAAAATGACTTTTATTAACTTATTATCTCATAGTTTCCTAATTAACGCCGTTGATTTTTTAATGAAATTTTTCATGGTGAATGGATTGAGTTTATTTAGTTTATAATTAGAAATTCCCTGAGATAAAATAGTTATTTCACGGATCATCCACGGCTACGCCGTGATAAGTAATGATATCTATGGATGCCCGTGAAATAACTAGTACATATTATATTAAATCGAGTAAATATGATTACAATAAAATTTTTTAATAAATTTTTATTCCAGACTTAGCACGATAAACCTGATTTTAAAATTTTATTTATTAAAAAGTTGGTTCAATTATTGCAAGGAGTAAAAATGACGTATATATATACTGATTTTATATAAATTTTTCTGTAACTGACTGTAACTGGCTAAAGTTTTTAGGTCTCTAATTTAATCATTAATAATATTGCATTATATTATATATAAAAACGGATAGTAAAAGTGACTATGCAAATGATTCAAATCATCGTATATCTTAGGATAGGCTTAGTATATCTTTTATTTATTTGGTATTTCGTATAATATCAGCTATACGATTAATATGCAAATATCTTGTTTAACTAATATGATTCATTTTTAACACTCCTATGCGAAAGAGCAAGAATACTTTTTTTATTTTTTTATTTTTACACCCACGACTTTCTACAAAAACTATCGAATTATCGTGATAATAAGTATATACTACATACATTACAATTTAAATAATATAATTAAAGGTCTTAAAGTTGAGACAAAAGCTTTGAGAAAATTTCATTATAATTTATAATTCTGACAGAGATTAAAATTCTTTTACGAGTTCTTTTTTTCCTTTTTTCCTTTTTTAATATTTTTTTCCAAAAAAAAAGAATAATTGTCGGAATTTACAATTTATAAACATAGTTATCAAACTTTATTTTAATTGCAAAATTCACATGTTTAAATTTTTATGAAATAAAGTAACGGAATATATTAACGTGCTACAAGTTAATTCGTTAAAAATGAATGAAAAATTTTAAATGAGAGTAAAATGAAAGAAAATAATGTACAATGCCTTTTTTTTTTGAAGAAATTGTACAATGAATAAAAATTAAAAAAGGAAAAGTGGATTGGAATGGTAAAAATTTTACATAAAGAACGGTGTCCAGTTGAAAGGTTTAGATTCTGAAAGTTGGAAATTAAACTTTTTATATGATATAACTATAAAAACGGACTAGAAGGAATAAATAGACGCATGGATAATATTATGGAAAACTGCTTCCATTAAAAAAAGCGTTGTCGAATTCACTACTTGTTGCTTGCGGTATAGTTATCTGAAACATCCTATTAACAGTCTCTGCGTTACTCAACAGCAACACACGATTTCGATTTATATTGTTTATATCATTTGCTAACATTGTGAATTGCTCTCGTTGATGAGCTGTTGAAAAATTCCAAACATGATTCGTCGTCAGATCAATGATATGTCGACAGTACACATGTAATCGATTGGCTTCACGTTTTATGTTTCGTTTCATTAAATGTATCCCCGTTATTCTTGGAATACTTCTACAATTTCTCGTTTGAGCGGCAAGTATCTGTGCATTGCTATTATAGGGAGGATAAATCCTAAGATAATTTATTCGAGATAAAAAATCATTTAATATCGCATTTTGATTTCTTCTATTTCGTTGGGAAGACATTTCTAAAAAAAATAAAAAATAAATCTGATTCCCGTTAAGTATGGTGGTTTAAAAATCTTTGTAGAGGAGTTTATATAGGCAGAAATACCGTATATCTATATATATAAATAAAAGTAAAGCTAAGGGTACCAATGAATCATATTAATTTTAGGTTTAGCACCGGCAATCATTAATTAATTGGACGTTGTCCCACCAACTTGAACATAATCCTGTTTGCTGTTTACATATTTTTATACTATAGTATATATGATTTGCAACTTATATATGTTTATCGAAATGATATCATCGGCATTTTGCGAGGATTGTGTTACAACCACAATGGACAGCCAGAAGTAGAAATAAAAGAATAGATATGCAATATTGTAATTATAACGATTATTGATAATTTCCTAAACGGGAGAAACCTATTTCTCAATTGATGCAAGGAATAATTTAAAGTTATTACGATTAAATCACGTGACGCTACAATTACATTTGATTTTTTGTGGCAAACAAAAATAATTCTTTTCTTTAAATTCATTGATTTATGTACAACTTTACAATTTTCCGAAATAGATATTGTTTTTCTTGAGATTTGATTTATCTCATATTATTGATAACTAAAGTAATCATTGTAATTTTTTTTTAAAAATGGATACGATATATCATACATCTTTCATTTTCATTTCATTTGGGAAAAATATGGAATAAGTTACTATATTCAAAATAAAGGAGAGAAGAATATACTTTCATAAATTCATTGTTTAATTAAATTGATCATCTTTATTTATGTCTGACAGCAAATCGTAAAAGAAATTGTGAAACGTCATTTAGCAAAGATAAAATTTATTTCTAAAGTCGTTAAAGGTATATTGAAATTAACACGGGTTAAAATTAGTTTATCGTATTACACTTGCTTTTTATTCTTTGAATAAGTTTAACGAAGAAATAGTGAAAAAATTCTGGTACTGTTTGATAATGTTTCATCCAAAATTCGTGGAAGTCTTGATTAGCTTATAAAGAATTGATTCAAATTCTCATAAAAAAGTTCTGTTTAAAGAATCGTTTGTAATAAGGCAAATCTAGAATATGGATAATCGGTCCGGTTCGGTGATCAGTAAATTTTGCAAAATTTGAGGTGTTCCGAGTTAAGCCTTCCAGTATTTTTTTTTTTTATTTATTATTAATTTCTTTTTAGTTATTTTCTCTTTCGAGTTCTATCATTAAGACCGCTGAGTTGATTAAATAATTGGCTATTATTTAATTTTTTTTTTTTTTAGGTTCCATCAGTAAAGTCTTCATGATTAATTTTTTCGGCTCATCCTTATTCTCAATTAAAATATAAACTCAAATTTTTTAATAATCCAATATTTTAACCGTGCATCGTCTTATGAGCAAAGAGTATACTTGTTTCTATCTTGAAGTTGTTACATATAAGATGTTTTGAACGGATATTTGAGTATTCCGTCCATTATATTTTAATTTGTTTACGTTATTGTTATTTAATTTATTATTTTATATTAATGTAAAAAAAGAATGCGTCTATATGAATATCAATGTTTTTTTTTTCCCAAAGGGAAAATAACCATGATGTTCCGTTCCGTTCCCTTGAAACTACCAAGCTATATTTCAGGAGCGTCATTATTGAGTCTACAATCATTATTTATACTTTTTTTGATACTTTTGCTAATTTTTTTTGTTTGGCGAATTATTTTTTTCTACACTTCTTAAAAAGTTAACTTGATTATTAAAAAACATTTCTTAAATATTAAATATTTAAAAAAAGTTTAAAAGGATAAAGATGATACATTATCTTTCAATTTTTTTTTTTTTTGAAATAACTAAAAGAATAAATAAAATAATTAATGGTTTTATTGATATTTTAAGGAAAAATTATCACCGAATCAAATAATTTTACAATTAACATCACATGAACTATTTGTTATTCCTAAAATATTCTCGTTTTACTAATACACTAAAACTTGGATGAATCTTCTTAATGCTATAGAAAGGTATGATATTATTTAATTAGAAATATTAGTCAGTAGGTATACGAAGAATTTCGTTAGTACTTAAATACTCCGAAGGTTACTGAGATCGACGTATCTTTATTACATCTTACATCATTGATAATAATAAAAAAAAAATAGTCTTTAATAAAAATGATTGTGTATAAATCTAAACAAGTTTGTATATTAAATTATTCGATAAATGAAAACATCTGGCGCTAAATTATAAGAAATCTATTTCAAAATATAATTACATTAATTTGAATGTTATAATCTAATAAGCAATAAATTTGATATTTTCAAGGGCAAAATTAACAAACGATTATATTACTTAAATTACCTTATAATAACAAATAAAAGTGAATTTTGTAATCTAAAGGAATAATGATGTTATAATTAGGAATGGGGACGGTTCAAAAAGAGAGACTCAGAAACGGTTCTGGAACCGATTCTAAACATATTCTAGGTTCGCCTGAGTTATAAACCATTTTAACAAATAGAACCACCCATCCCTCGTAACAATACCAACTTGAGCTTTACCAAGATATTATTACACATACTAGGATCGAAAGCTCGTCATACTGACAATGATTGCATGGCATGGAATAATTTTATTTTCTTTGATAAAATGTCAACATTCATTGTGGGACAAACTGTACGCAAAAGTATAAAACTGTCTCGACTGGTTGGTTTTAATTCGGATCTCAAGTTTTTTAATTATGACACGAACCGGTCGAAAACTTGATTAGGGTCAATGACCCGGGGCCTATAATACTTAAAAAGAAGAATATAGTCATATTAATGCTTCTACTTTCAAAATAATACAGACCCCCGCCAAAAGTCTCCGAACGTCATCTTTCGGCTATTTCATACCGAATACATCATATGACTGTATAAT